ACCCTCCTCCCCGTCATCGTCCTCCTCCTTCCGGTCAACGACCTCCTCCAACCTCCCGTCCCCCTCTCCGTCATTGTCCTAACAAATCTAAAAATAAAAAAAAAAACCCAACGAATCTACACGAAGCATAGTGTCTCCCCTTCTCAGTAAAAGACTTCCAAAGTTTATCATATTTTAATTTTCCAATTACTGTTGATATATAGAAAAAAGACATACTATATAGATAGAATAAAATAATATAATACACATGTCATCTATAAGAAGATTCGTTAAAATAGGCAATATGAATTACAATTTACAATAATTTAAGATAATTAATAATTTAACATTATATTCAGCCTCCTGATGAGTCGGTGAAACTCCGACGAAACAGTTTGTCACAGCCCCTCATTTGTTGTCCTCTTCTCCCTCTCTGCCTACGGTTTACCGGGCAATTCTATTTGACGATATATATATAGTAAGAAAAAACAAATCCACAAAAGAAAGATAAAAGAATCAGTTGCAACCTCACTCGTCTTCTTCCTTACTCAGCATGCATGAAAACAGATGGCAATCACATTGGCACTAGGCGCCCCCACAAAGCTTAAGGATATCAAGGCCAAAAACACAGTACAGATTCCAACTTGCTTTCGATGGTTGTGGCGCCTGTGCGCCCACACAACACCCAGCCGACACTGTATTCCCGACAATTGTTCCCACGCATGCTACTCTGGATCTCCTTGGATGTCCCACACACACACATACACCACGCAACACGCTTACACATGCACACCACAGCCTATCTCTAACCTACGGAAGCTATGATTGCCTTCTACCTCCGAGCTACTAGCGGCTATGACCACTTTGTCTCCCTGGCAGCCCACTTCTCCTTCGGGCACCTGCAGACCTCCTTGCACAAGACACTCAAGCAGCGCTTCCGCACGGCTCACAGGCAAAATGAATGAATGGTTGGATGCTGCCTCTTGATTTTGGTCGTTGGTCTGCTCCTTCCCACCGGGCCCAGGTTGCTGACAGTCCTACATGGTACTTGCTGATTGGACAAAGTGCGACCGGGACTGGGTACCGCTGACTAGGCGAGGTTGGACTAGCCACTTGCCCACTTGCATACAGACCTTCGCCTAAGACTACACGAAGGGTCACTTTCGGACCTTCCGGAAGGTCCTGGACTTGACCCTTCGGTACTGTGGCAGCTACGACCTTGACCTTCAGGTACTGTAGAAGTTACAACCGCTACCAGTGCTAAGACTTCTAACCTATAGACCTACTGTTCGAGACCCGCTGACCACACTACCTACGATGCGCAAACAGGCGACTTTCAAGGCACAAGTCACGGGTTCAAACACACAGGGGTCGACGTGGTACTGTACACGGGTAAGGGCAAGGTCTAGGGCTATATGTTCGAAATTGGATTCAACGCAGGTTTCGCGTTAAAAAATTCAACACGCGTTGAATTCACGTTGAATCCCCTTTTGAACGCGTGCTGGACGCGAATCGACGGGGTCCGCGAAACCCGATTTCGCTCGTTTGGTGGGGGGGTGCGCGTATTCTGAGGGCCTGGGGTGGTGTAGTGGCCTGTTGGGTACCACCTCAGGCAATCAGAACTTTTTTTTTTTTTTAATAGGAAAACAAAAACGAGGCCATGGCGTTTTCGGGGTGTCGGGGTTCAGAGGGCGGCTGGGGGAACGGTTACAAAAACGACCGTTTCACTCGATCGCACTTTCATTTGCCGCGCGAGCCTATACGCTTCAACGCAAAGAACTCAGCCGAGTGACGTGTCCAACGCGCGCGCGGCAAGTGCAGAGAGAGAGAGAGAGAGAGAAAGAGGCAGAGAGAGAGAGAGAGAGAGAGAGAGAGAGAGAGAGAGAGAGAGAGAGAGAGAGAGGATGACGATCGAGAGAGTGCGCGCGCGCGAGAG